ATTTAGAAATTTAGGTTTATGAATACAGAGAAAAATATCATGCATTTATATAATTTTCCAAGATATTTGTAAACTGTTTTGTAATAGGAATAGATTTTTCAATTACTAAGGGGATACTATCCAGGATTACAGAATTAAAGTAACGATAAAAATAACAGTTAAAATTCGTTACCGTTACTGTAAAAATGTAATGACGTTACTGTTACCGTTACAGCAGGAAAAAGTAACAATCATTACCGAAAAAAAGTAACAGTAACGGTAATGACGTTACAAGTAACGCCTTATTTCCCAACTCTGTATATATATAAATATGTATGTGTGTGTGTGTGTGTGTGTGTGTGTGTGTGTGTGTGTGTGTGTGTGTGTGTGTGTGTGTGTGTGTGTGTGTGTACGTATGTATATAATATATGCTATAATATATGCTATAATATATGTATATAATATATGTGTGTGTGTGTGTGTGTGTGTGTGTGTGTATGCGTGTGTAATATTATATTAATTATATTAATATTTTTGAATAAAATAGAAGAAAAAAAGACAGTAGTCGAGAAAATAGAAAAAAGGCAACACTAATGATTTGAATATCCGAGAACAAATGTTCATAAGAAATATCTCGATAGACTCCATAGGAAGAAGCATGACAAATCTTTATGATGTTAGGACAAAGGAATACAATAAACGATAATAATTTAAGGACCTGAATCACTCACAGAAATGTTTTGCTAATGTAGGTAGATTTCTAGATGTCGCAACCAAAATTTGTCGCTATTTTTTGTGTCTGATAGAATATCGTTTGTCACAGCTAAAATTTATAGCAGTAACATTCTAACAATATCTGCTAGAAAATTTAGAATTATATATTCATTTGTTCTTGCTGCTAGTATTTTCTGTGCACTACAACCAAACTTTAACAAGTATGGATTGATCATAACATGGATAGATGCCACAGACAAACTTTCTTTCTAAATTTCACAAACAGTTCAGATATAAATTCTGTCTCTGTCATTTAGATTGATTACGTGCAACATATATACGATATTACAATATTTGCTAATCGTTTATCTGCCTCAGTTAATTTTTCGCACCTAGAAAATTTTTGCTATAGTTGCAAGATCATTTTTTTGAGTGAAGAAGAGGAATATGTTAGATAGGAACGAATGGTGATTGGAAACGATTGAAAACTAAAAGACAGTTTACAATTGCAGTTTACAATCTATTTATTAATAATAATACTATTTTGTAATTATATTAAATTTTATAATTTAGTACATTTGTATTATATAAGTATGAAGCATCAAAATATTATGCTGTTATAAAAGAATTATAATAAAAATATTATAATAAAAATGTATAAATAATATTGATTATATTAGAATGCAACATATGAATTATTTATATTTTATAAAGGAAGAGACATTTTTAAAATATTTTGCAATATTTGTATTTTTTGAATCTTATTATAAATCCTTCAGAAGAATTAATAATTAATTAATTAAAAGACAAAACCAGAAATTGTGTACATTATATCCCAGTAAACACAGAATATTGCAGCAATATTGCGGTAATATTACAACATTGCAGCAATGTTGCTGCAATATTCTGTGTTTGCTGGGATGTTACCGTCTGAGAACATTCATGGACACTGGCTTTATAGTTCATGTCCACGTTTTTAATGTCAGAGGGCGTATCGCTTTCAGGAATCATTTAAAAGTGGGATATGATACTTCTCAGTCTTCTCTCTGAAGGATACCTTGTAACATGATCGGTTATAAAGAATTAAAGTCGGTAATAATTTGTCGATACAACTTTTAATGTCGGGTGTTGCAATGGTTTATAAACCTTATAAAAGATGGGGATACGAGCGAAACGCAGCCATCATGAATCAAATTGTGTCTAAAAGAAGTGGGGTTGATGGTGACGAGAGGTGGTCCTTTCCTGGTTAAGCCTACCATTCACAAAGGGTGGAGTTTGCTAAACTGCAACTATCTGCAGTTACAGCATTGGCGTGGGAAATTAAATTTTCATAAATTTTTAATTGTGCATAAATTTTTTTCAAAATTATATAAAAACAAAAAAGGGCGTATATTATAATTTAATTGTTGTATATTATAATTTACTTATTGTATATATGTTACGGAAAAAAATATAAATACATTTAATTTAGAAGCATATAGCTTTTATGATCTTTAAATGTATTTTGTTTAGATACATTAATAATTATTACAAAATTTTCATATGCATTTTAAATAACTAATATTTCTATATTCTTTGCAAATAGCATGCAAATAATAAATTTAAATCAAATATATTTCTATTTTTTAATTGAAAAATTAAATCACTTGTTTATGTGTTAAAAATAATAATATATATTCATTAATATAGTGCCGTGTATTATGAAAAACAATCTATTTAAATATTTTCTTGTTAATTTTTTTAGTAAATTTTACTTTAAGAATATTTTTAAATATACATAGTAATTTTAAAATGCATATTTAAAGGTGTAGCGTTAAAGTTTAGGAGTTGAAATAATCATAGTGTGTGTTCTATTGAATTGTTTTATACACATACATTTATTACATATTAATATTGGTACATACATTTATTACATATTAATATTGGTATAAGAATTTTATATCAATATTTTATGCTTTCTCTTTCTCCTTTTCTCTCTCTTTCTCTCTGCTCTTTTGGTAGGACATTTATTATATCGACATATATTAATTTGTTTGTACTTTTCTAATTTTACTTAATCGAAATTTAATAATCCTGCAATTTAATCTTCATATGATAATTAAGATTGACTTATATTCGTCGACTTTATATTCGTTGATGAAAATAGTCATTTGAATCTCAAACGTCGATAATATATCGTTGGAGATGAAAGATTCTTGACAATTTCTTCAGTTGATAATGCACTATGCTATATGTATGCACATGAATTTTATAATTTTATTCTAAGGACTGTTGGAATTGTAGAAACAGAAAATGCAATAGTAAGAACAATATTTGAAATAGCTAGTATCTATAACATAAAGAAATTACAAACAGAATATGAATTGGTTTGTTGTAACATAGATTTTTCTTCTATCCAAAGCTAATAAATAAAATATTAACAGTGAAATTCGAGTTTTAATTTTACTGAAACAAGATTGAATCTCTTTAGATATAATCATGACATTAATGAATCATTTAAAGTAATTCATTAAAAACATTATAATAATACCCGTATAATAAAAAGACATAAAAGGAAATTCTAAGATCTTCAATAAAATTTTTCCTGATATTTTTCTCTTATGCTGTAAAAAACAAGAATATTAATAGTTTTTACTTCAACTACATTTACATAAAATCGTTATATATTTACATACAATATACAATTTAAAAAAAATCATGATATATCATGTAAAAGAGAAGTATTACATAAAAATTTTAAAATTTTGTTAGATTTATAAATATTTTATTAACATTACATGTATGTTAATAAATGCATCATTTTTTTAAAAATTTGATAAAACATTTCTATATCATATAATCATACAATATCTTTATATCTTATAATTATATGTAGTGCAATTATATCTTAAAATTGTATAGATACATGTAATTATATAATTTATTTTGAGATTAATTTGATAGATAATTATTAAATATTTATAAATATTATTAAATAAATATAATTGTATTTTAAATATATTGTTTATTTATAAAGAAAATTAAAATATTATACATTTTCATAAAGCGCCACAAATCTCTAATAATGTTTTTATAATGATTATATTTGTATAATTTATCATTAAATAGATACTATTAAGATATCATTAAATTACATAATTCAGGATTATATTATTTAGTTATATCGTGAATTATACAAAGATTGCTAAAAATAAAATTCGTACATTTAATCTTCATGCATTTGTCTTTTTAAAATAAACCTCTTTTTCGCATTGCAAAAAATATAATAAACATTTTTACTTTCATAGATATGCATCCTGAAGTTTAGCTTACAATAGAAAACGAATAACTTTTTAATAGTTACATATTAAATTTAACATATTATCGTTAAATTTAATATTAAGAAACATTCAGGTATACCGGGATTGCATTGTGCATTCTCCAGAATAGAGTTTCCATTACGCATTATATGCAATATTCTTTCCTTTTAAAAGCATACTATAAACTTAATTCACAATAAACATGACATATCCACAATACAGTAGCAATATACTTGCGCAGTTAGAAAGTTATTTAATATCCAAAGATAGAGAAAGAGAGAAAGAGAGAGAGAGGGAAGAGAGAGGGGGAGAGAGAGGGAGAGAGAGAGAGAGAAGGAAGGAGAGAGTGAGAGAGAGAAGAAACTTATATGTGTGTATGTATATGTATATATATTAGCTAACCTCTCTCTAATAATGCGTATCAAATATTATTATAATATTATTAAAATAAAGAAAATATATCTGTATTAAATATATATTGCTTATTTTTTGATACTAATTATATATTTCATAAAGTTACTATTATTTGCAATATAATATACAAATATTTTTTTAAATTTAGAATTGCTATATAAGCAAAATACTTTTTATACACGCAAAAAAGATTAAATGTTAAAATTAAAATAAATAAGTTAAAAAATTTTTTTTGAAGATTATATGAAAATGTTATTAGAGTTTGATTGAAATAATTGAAAAAATGCTATGCCGGAAACTACTAATATGAAATGATTAAAAAAATACGTTAGTAAAATATGTTAGAAATTATTTTGCATACTGCAAGAAAAATACTATTAAATTAATTATTATATTTTTCGAAACCTCGATAAATGTATACGGAATAAAAATAGAAAATCTGCAAATCTGTGCAGTATTACGGCTGTGTCCAGTTTATTTTGTGTCCGATAGAAAAGTGGTGGGGTGGTAACTGTCACCGAAGACAATTTATGTTAATGACTGTTCGTAACCGAGGAGCGCCGAGGTCGCTCGACAGAACAGTCTGCAGGTCGCCGTAGCAGCGGTCGGACACGAAGCTCCTTGCTCGACTTTCGAATCCTTCCCCTCCATTCCAACCCTGAATTCACCACCTTATCGTGTTCCATCCCTACGATGGCGACGCCCAGCGTCGATTCGGTGCGCACAATTTCATCCCCGACTCGGAGATTCGTCTTCCTGTGGACGCTTGCACGCTCGTCGAAATATAGTCGATTCATGTGATTGAAACCAGTGTATTAACGTAAAATTAGTGATGTGTTAAGGATAAATTTGCATCATTATTGGTGAGTTTGCGTTCTCATTTTTTTTCGTTAAAATGGATTTATTGTTATTTGTGAGAAAGATAATATTAAGTGGCGCGTCAAAATAGTTCGGTCTAGAAATCTATAAGAAGGATAAAATATATATTTTGCTTCTCTGATAAAGATATAATTGTTTAATTGATATTAAACGGAGACGGAAAAGATTTCGATGTACACGTATTATATCGGTATTTTATATGTCCTTGACACTGTCTATTTTTATCGGACGAGAATTGAAAATGGCTACGGAGAAGCAGAAAAATGATCTGCCACTATATACGATATTTTATATGAAAGTGAACAGTATTATTTGTTTAACTCAATTTCTCAAAATACAAGAAAAAATTTTGTTTGCTTCATGCTATTATTAATATGAAAAATATTCCAATATCTAAACTCAAACTTATTGTTGCTCCAAATAAGTGATAAATTACAAAAATTTAATTTTATTTATAGCAACAAATTTACATTAAAAATTCTACAACATTCTAATTTGTATAAAAATAATGATAAAAGTAGAATTTTCTTATGAGTTACATATGTCTTTATTCCTTTACATATGACATTTAAAACGCATAGCATTGCATAATTATGTACACATTATCTTTACAACTTATATCTTTCTATTCAATCTCTAAATGACGTAATATCATCTGCAAAATGTTTCGTTCAGAATAATAATCTAAATGAATTCACGTATTTCGTAATTCTTAGGAATGCACGTTCAAAGTAAACAAAAATATAAGTACGTTTCTCCCAAGAATTCAATTGTACGAGACTATGCGGAACGAATTCGGAATTTGAATGGCTCATTTTACATAACTGTCCAGACGGATGTATTGACGTATTCAGACGAGAAAAATACATATTAAACGTGATGTCGATAGCCGACGAGTGTACACTTGGGCAACGTATAAGGCCGCGGTGGCGCCGACGGTGGCGGATTTCGCGATTCCCGTATAGCCTCTCGCAATCTGGCGGGATGCCGATCGATTTGCACTGTGTTCCTCACCCGTACAACACGATTCCATTTCAGTTCATTTCGCTCAACTCGCGAGATAGTACGTATCCTACACAATTGTACAACGAAAATCTCCTTCGCTTATCGCGGCGATTGCGAAATTTTCGACAGATCCGTGTGAGAAATTTCACCCTCCATTTTCACGAATGAAAAGAACCCTCGATTGTAAAAAATTAGTGACTCTTGATAAAATTAATGTTTTTTTTTGATAAAATTAATCTTTTGAAGAAAGAAGAGATATTGTTCCTCGTAGATGATGTTAGGTTTACTTAGAGTTTGTGCGCGATACGATTCTTGAAAGTGACGTTAGACATCGATGATGATTAATTATGATTTTGATATTCTTGTATTTAATATTTTGTGTAGACTAATTTTCATATTATTTTAACGAGCACAATTTAATGATAATTTAATTAATTTAATAATACTTGAAAATATTTGATAAATATTACAGAGAGAAAGAAAATTTTCACGATTAAAAAATATAAATGAAATTTCTTCTATGTATTTAAACAAAATTGGTATACGTTATACTTGGACTTTTTCGTGAAGCATCTGGTGAATGCGTTCGCTTAACGAACCATCTTCCCTGCAGTTCTCTACAAAAGCTACAAAATTTAAGGTGAGCATGTGTAGAAGAGAACAAACCGGCTGTGAATCCAATCAAGAATTTATGACGCCCACATTCCACATTTAAACTTCCAAAATCTAAACTTGTTGAGCATCTTATCAAAAAGATCGGTCTGCAGGGAATAGGAGTTCTTTCAACTATTGTTAAATGATCGCTGAAGTGAATAATATGATACATTACTGAAGAGGAGAACAGTTGAAATCTTCCAATTAATTTGATAATTTCACTTGCATTATTTCAAAAGAATTTGCGAAATAAGAAATAAAAATTTTTTTTGTGTATATGAATTTAATATATTTAATATAATTGAATGTAACTGCGAGGTGGCACGTGAATGAAAACAAGAGGTAGCGTGACACGACAAAGCGTTAAATGATCGATGTTGTGTCCGTCTTGCGAGAAGTACGGTCATCGTGATTGCTATATATTTAATGGGGATGTTACTACAGCACGTGGCAAACACATGTACTGGTCTTTTGCATTATCTTTCTCCAGGTATCTAAGTAATTTCACAATATAGTAATTTATTAAATTTATATAATATTAGAATGAGAGAGAGAAAGAAAAAAGAAATAATATTTATACAATTTTATATATATGTAAAAAAAATATCTGCGCGCTTGGGATGTCTCATAAAATCTTCGGAGATTATTTTACAAGGCTTTTTATCGATAATTTAACAAGAAAAAAAAATTATACTTTGATACATTATATAATTTTCCACTATAAGCTTAATAACGTGCTGTCCAATTTAGTAATTCTTAGTGCGGTTGAATTAAAGTACCGGTGTCATAAATTAACACATTTCCGCAAGAAATGACGTCATGCAGTGTAATTTGTGCATGGGAGATGCGACAAGGTCTTATTAATCTTTTATAGACTATGCAGTCTACTCCAGATTACTATAATGACATTGTTATAACATATACTGTATAATTCTACGAAAAAAAGTTTTAGGTATAATATATGTGTGAGATCTAGAATTTACATCAAATATTTAATAATTTAGACATATGTTAAATAATATAAATTTTAATTAATTATTAGATATTGAATAGAAAAAAAATTACTGTAAAATTAAAGAGCGTGAATGTAATGCTTCACGAAAATTCACGTTTCTCTTCAGTTCAGTTACCATGAACGTTATTTAAAATTTCTCTACGCGTCTATTCTCAACGTTTTTCTTTTTTCGGTATTGGAGCAGGTATCACGGTCGGTTGTAGGTAATAGGTTTTGGATAATAGCGACCTATTTGACCTTCGTTTCGTAGCCTGCTGCGTATTCTTAACTTCTTCGAAGTTTTTGTCTTCGAAGAGATCCTTTATAAAAGACTGTATACTACATACGTCTTTTGTGATTTCTGATTTCCTTTAACTTTATTTTCACATTATACGATAATATTTCAGCGTAATTTCAGATTTTATAATTCTAATTATAAATTAAAATCAATGACTTTTTATACTTTTAATTAATAAATAACATGAATATTTTTACTAAAGACAGTAAATAATTAGAATCCCGATTTTATTTATCTGTCTAAATAAAGTATTGAAAAATGTATGTGTCGAGATTGTATGTATTATGAATACATAATTATTATGCAATATAAATGCGCATTTGCAAGCATCTGCATTAATTTTAAACTGATAACAATTATGAAATTTGATAAGAAAAGTAATATTCGATGCTTAAATTGTCCTTCGGCTCAACTGTATCGAGTTGCTCCGATAAAGATTCGTTGTTGTAAGTGGATTCGCTTATTATCGCGGCACAAAAGCCTCGCGAGTTCCACACGGATGCTGTGAACCCTCACATGGATTTCATTTCAGGATCGCATAAAATGGTGCTGAGGGGGAGAGGAGAGAACGAAGGGGAAGAAACACGAGGGGAGAAGAATGAAGTCGCGGGACGGCCAGGGAAACGAGAGGAAAGGGAAAGATGCCGGCTGGCAAGCAGATGGTTGCCCCGTTTATTGGTTTATTCGTTGCTTCAGCCATGACGTTCTGTCCGGCCATGAAACAAGCCGGAGATTCTCCTTGTGTTGGGAAGCATCATACAACGAGGTTCATACGAGGCATACGAATGCTCTTCGTATTAAAACATTGACGTACTACTTATTTACATTGTAGGTAAGTAACTTCTTCAGCATAAGCTCTATACCGCTTAAAATTAGCGGTTGCTTTCAAGTTTTTCTAACTTATTTTATTCATTTATTTTTACAGCAACTACATATGATGACCGGCAACATAGTTACTTTGCATCTACAAATAGGTTTTACAGGTGTTATTGCAAACATCTGCTTATTTTGCATCTGACGTTCTTCTCTTACGGCTGTTTTACATATAAGGTAAAACTTTATTTTACAAGTAATAATGAAATGATTAAAATTAAAGTCTAGTTACAGAACAATATATTATTCTCCTTTGTTATTACAGCTTAATATTATGTATTAATAAAAAATATTACATATGTCATGAAATGCATTTGCATAAAATTATAGGTAACTTAATATTTAAAACGATGTGTTTATATATTCAACAAAGAGATAATCAGCTGATTGCATTTATTAGTCTTAAATTTTTAATGAAATAAAGCATAGTCTTATTTTTTAATTTTTGCAATCTGTTACAAATTTTTTTCTTGTAATTATGTTACAATGAATGTAATATACATAATATTATATAATTATTATAGTATACATGCATATTATATAACATGTATGTAAGTCGCTTGACAATTTGATCGATTAATAACTCATTTAATTTAGCTATATGAAAACTCTTGTAATCGTCATTGAAACAATAGTTCTTATATTGTAAATTATGTGCAGTGAACGAGATGTAAGAGCGGCTTTTTGACAGCATGCAGACGTAAGCGAATATTATATTCAGTAATGGCGTCTTGGGGGCGGATGAAATGCTCGGGTCGATAGAAGGCTTGTCTACGAAACCCATATACTCTTTCATCTTATTGTCAATGATCATCCCCACCTACAATGACCTTTTCTACGATTTCTCCCCAGGGATGTAATCCACAGCTCTAAGTATGATCGATTATGCTCGAAAGAAGGTAAATGTAAATAATTTTAAACGTTAATTCAATCAACAAATTAGTTCTTAAAGGAATTATGTTAAAATATATAGTTTTAAGAAAATCAATACAAGATAACAAAATAACAATTCTTTCTAGGGAATTTCAGTATTCTTGTATTACAACATGTCGGTAAAGTCAGTTACGAAATGAAGATGTAAAGTTGAAGACGATATTAGCAATGAAAATTTATTTATCAAAATTAAATATTTAAATTAATTCTTTATAAAATATTTGAAAACATTCATCAATAATTACATATTTTTTGTAACGGCGATTTATTTAATATAAAATTTAATTTAAATTATCAAATTTATACCGTAACTTAAGCATAATAATGTTGATAATATCAAGCTGACAATGTATAAATTTAATTTTAAAGAAACTATTCCATACATTTTAATTAAAATATTTATATTTCTACATTTATTTTTATACTATGATTTTATATATAATTATATATCAATTTATTTACTAAATTACTATAATTCTTCTCCAATATCAAGTAAAAAAACTTATAAAATATAATATAAAATATAATACAAAATATAATATAATGATTTTAAAATGAAATAATATCATTGTTATTTTAAATTCTTTAAATTAAATTTGTTTATTTAATAAAAAAAGTCTATTCCATTTCATTACAACTCTTTATTAAATTTGATAGATAGATTTGATACATCATATAATAATAATTCTATTCTTAAAAGATACAATTTCTATGTCAGCAGTTAAGTTAGCTCTTTAAAGCTAAAAAATACAAAATATCATAAGTCAGATCTTTCAGATTTTCTCCTTAATCCGGCTCAAGACCCGAAAGAGCTATTTAAAAGGATTAACATCTTCACCCAGTTATAAGAAGAACTACTAATACTTCTAATAACTCAAAATCGTCTAAAGTTTCCTTTACAAAAGAAAACTAATTTACATAAATATTGTGACACATGTTATCTCTGTGATGGTCACGTCCTTTGCACTTTTGCTAAGATATTTTGAAGCGAGATTTACACACATTTCTATTTATCTAATATACGATATATTATCTTTGTTGAAAACATATTATTTATAAAATACACTTAATATTTTTCTTGTAATATCAATGTTATTGTGACGAGAAAATATTTATATATTTTTTTCACACATTATTTACATGTAAACGATCAGCAACATGACCAAGTAACCTGGAAATGAAAGGTACATCGACACGCGTACAGGAATAAAAGGAGTTGTACCGCTAAGAAGACGAAGAAGAAGAAGAAGAAGGAGAAGAAGAAAACCAAGGAGAATGCGACCTTGCTACATTCAGCTGTGTCATCCTTGAGCCGTTAACGCTCAGGTGGTTTCGATCCCAGGAACGAGCATCAATCATCATCGGTAGTGCAGGTGTAATGTGATCATTGTCACCGAGATAACCCAGTACGATATTCACTTACGAAACGTGTCAAGTGACATAACAGAGTTTATCTATAACAGCATATCTGAATACTGAAAGAATCGCCTCCAATGTTTGTGCCTTTCGATAGCACATTATTTGTTAGGGCAGGTCTTTGACTCGAGTAAGAGAGGCATTACGAAACAATCGTCCATATATGTATTGCAGATTTTACGCGCAAAGTTAAGATTGCATATGCCTCTACATACGCCGTTATCTGTTTTGCATAACTTTACGATTTACATAATTTATAACAGTATAGAATTTTTTTATCGTTTTTTATAAGATTTTCTTTAATAAAAAAATGAATTAAGGCTATTAGATTTGTTAAGATATGCATGTCAGATAAAGATTGATATTATATTTGTATGAATAACGAAACATAACACAAAATCTTGCATTATAAAATATGCATTGCACAATATTATCAAGTGAGAAATGAGCAATCATTAAAACTAAAAGAGATAGTGAAAATGAGAAAGAGAAAAAGAGAAAAGAAGAAAATGCGTCTTTAGTGATTACAATTCAAGAAATTAAATTGCATAAAGTCAAATGTATAAAATGAAGGAGAAATTTTTACTTTCACTAATAATTACATAGATTTATATTAATTACTTGTAATATTTTAAAATATTTAAAAATTAATTTTATTAAAAAATATTAGATATATATAAAACATTAAATTCAACTAGTTTTATTGATTTTATATTTCTATAGCGACGAGATATTGAAGTTTATGCAAAGTTTGATAAAAATAGATTCTGTTCTACTCTCTTGAAAGGAGGCCCAAGCTCATTTTCCTAAGCACTTTGTAAGTTTGCGGGCATGTTGCAATTTGAGATTAACGATAGTCTATAATTTTAACAATCATTTCTTGTAAATATATTTCGCGCTTTAAAAACACAACATAAATAAATTATTAAAAAGAGGATAAAAATATGCATGTTTATATAAAGAATTACATTGCGACATTTTGATGGAGGATGTAATATATTTCTAACAAGAGAACTACAACGTTTAAAATACAATATTTTCATTATGTGACAAGTTAAATATAAGAGAAATTAATAAAATTGTGCATATAAATGTATTTACAGAATCAAAACTGTAGAAACTGATATTAATAGGGAAATATTTTCAGGTTCCTAAATGGTACCTGACATGAAGTCTGAAGATCACATACTGGGCGGATAAAGAAGTTCAAACCGGCACGTACGTTAAACACTTTTAATAGATAGGAGAACACAAATGAACGATGTGCCGTACAAGAGAAAGCCCAGTTAATGCTCTACATCTACCCTGTAGATCCGAATTTGTTTGATAAGAGGCGACAAATTCGGTTCTAGAGAGGTTTGTGTGGTGCATACAAAGCAACGGTGATCTTTGAATGAATGATTATAGATATAAATCTGCATACAATCTTGTCCTATTAATTCAGCGTTGAATATTTCAATATTAAATTTATTCTCCGATGTTTTGTGATAAAAATCAATATTAAATTATCAATACTTTTATTTTCAAAGTTTTTTACATATAAATTTAAAGCATTCTATAATTTATTATAAAGGACTATATATATAATGGAATTTATAATATTCTATAAGTTCTAAATGAGGATTGTAAGAAAAAAATGTTATGCATATAATATACGTGTCGTGTGGAGATATGACCTACATGACTGTATAATTAGATGAATGTAATTAGGTCGCTAGGGATACCTAGCCTGAATTCACTCATGCGTATTGAGTGGATGAGTATATTAATAGCGACGGAAAAATAACAAATGCGAAAAAGAATTAATGAACGTCATTACGCCCATGGACTTGGTTGCATGTTGGTACAGTGTCGATGATGAACTGCTACGTCTAGCGTGACCTGTTGCATATAAGTTCACCAACACATCCCATTAAGCTGCACATTCTCCTCGTACTTTGTACAGGTAGATTCAAATTCTATTTAATCAATATCAGAATGAAGAATGAATATTTTCTATAAAATATAGAATGTAAAGTAGCATCGTTGAATTAAGTAGGTAACTTATTACGGAGAGAACGTGCGAATTCATTGAAAACATATTGCTTATATAGCATTATTTATACAGCAAAATTTGATTAACAATATTTCGATATACGAAAAGGATCGATTAAACTGATTTCAATTATCTTTTTTTCTGCTACATTGCATATACATATTCGTTATTATTTTTCTTATAAAATAAATAAATATCTAATAATGTTTTTTTATCTTTTTATATTTTTGCTGCTTGACGAAGCAATTAATTTTGAACTTTATATTTACATATATGTAAAAAAACTGTATGTTAAATTTGAATTTTAATGTACTCTCGAAAAAAACAATTTAAACACTATTAATAATGTTCGATAATTTAGAATTATAAATTAAAATACTTTGTAATTAAAATACTTTATAAAAAAGTTTTTAACAACGATATAAATAATTATATTACGTACTGTAATTATGCGGTTTTCTGATGAATATATTACGTGTATAAATATCGTTTAATATTCCAATCTAAAGAGAATGGCATATTTTTTCCATATAGTGTGTGTAATAATACATACATGCAACATATATTTTTAATCTCTGATTTCTTTACAATGTAGCTGTTCATTGAATGGACATCTATCAGATGCGGATGCACGTTTTCTTGAATCTTTCTGTAAAGGCTGTGGCAAATCCATTAATCTCTGATCGTGTTCATATTAAAATGACATGCCAGTCGTCGTTACGCAACTACTCATAAGTGCTAATGAAGTGCATACACAGGTGTAATTACCAATCAAGTGGACTGCCCACTTTTCACTCGTAGCATAATCTAGTGGATAAAAAAAAGAGTAGTTTCATAATGACACGACGGGGAAAAACGCTACCGCCTCGCATAAATCAGCGATTCTTAACTGGTGCTTCGTTAGTAGAAGTTTTCATTAAAAATTTCCTACACGTCATAGCTTATATTTTTCAGTATGTTTATACATTCTTATATACAGTGACAGTAAATTTTTTTTCATATACATATACTTTCTTTTCCTTAAAAGATAAATTTTTCAGTCTCCAGTGATTTATAACAAGAATAATATCGAAAGAATTTTTCAAAAGCAAAATTGAAAGCTGCTTACATAAATATTAATCAAAATTAAAATTTTATGAAAATGTGCATAAAGATATTATGCAAAACGTGATCAGATATGATAATATTACAAAGATATGATCGTTCTGGAATATATTGTGTTGTATTCAATACTTTTTATCTTATCAGTATATCTATTTCTAGAGAGATCGCACACACAAGAGTGATATAAAATATATAAGACAAACAGAAAATATGTACGTAAGGAATCTGTATTGATTAGTTGCGTAATCATATTTAGCTTTCCTTGTGAAACAAATTTCCTATCCTATATATTTGAGACACATTGAACGTTAGATTTGTACGGAAAACTTATAATGCGTTTAATTCGAATGTATCTTAATTCTTACTTTAAATGTCTATTATAGTAAAGCAACTTCAATTACGCTAATAACATACCATGATTAATTTAATCCCATGTTTTCGCAGCTTATCTCAATCAATCATTTTATTAATGGCTTAATGCAGGTGGCTTGATCGAGATTAACATATATTTGAAAAGGCATAAGAAGCTCGCCGGTATAAATATTTTCATAAATAATGATGCAAAATTCTATTTGAAAAGAACGAGTTGCGAGAGCGAGAGGTGTAAGCGAAACCCGTTTTCGTAAAAAAAATTATCTTCTTGGCGCAGACGCTACTGATTTCTAGGAAATTTATAATTTTATAAACAAGAAATATAATAATTTCATTATAATAATAAGAATAATTAGAAAAATAATTAGATGAAGAAGTATTCAAATTATTTCTGCATGCAACGAATTCAAATCTACAAAACAACGTCGTTCCTTTAATTGACGTCTGTTATTCGAATAATTTCTGATTCACTAATAACGTGACGTTACATAGAAGCGATCCAACGCAAGATCCAATCATGCTCATATACATGCTCCGCAGGAAGCATCGCCGTCGGGGTATCGGGATATCGATATACCTACGTACGGGCAAGACGTACTTGACGCACACGGGAAATTATCGTTATTCGGATCGCTACGTGTCTGCCGGACGTTCACGTCGTCGGGTTCTGGTCCCCGGCCATTCCGACTCCAACCTGGCGGTTGGACGGAGACAAACGGCCGCGCGGCCGTAGATACGGTTGGACGCGCGTTTACGTACGTTTCCAGAGAGATCCTCGCGCGCGGAGTCTCGTCTCGGAGTCTAAATCCACATTCGAATGTGCGAGAAAACATAGCAAGATTAATGATTTGTGTGACACACGTAGGGAGAGGGTGCGCGCAGACCGTCAGCCAGTCAGCCAGCCAGTCAGCCAGGCTGCCTGCCTTGCCTTGCCTTGCCATGCCATGCCTTGCCTTGCCTTGGCTTGCCTTGCCTTGCCTTGCCTTGCCTTGCCTTGCCTTGCCTTGCCTTGCCTTGCCTTGGCTTGGCTTGCCTTGCCTGCCAACCGACGGTGGCGGCTGCGGCCGCGAGAAAACCGCGGCGATATAGCTCTCTGCCACTTTTCTCTCTCTCTTAGCGAGCATTGTATCCGTATATCTCCGTCACGCAGCGGCGAGCCGTCTTACGAAACTATTGACCCGATTCCGTGGATTCCGCACCACTTTAAGCGACGTTCCCCCTCGACCGATCGGGGGAGATCGAGGGAGAGGAAAGTACATGTCAGCGCGACTCGTTTCTATGTCGTATAAAGAAACGATTAGTTTTTTTGCTCGGCGTGTTCCGCGCACTATATACGCGTAATATTCAATTTACGAGACGAGATAATCGCTCCGAGACGATTAAGATAACGCGAGTGCAGAAATAGTTTTTCGCGCGCTCGAAACGTCGGATGTATTCCGGGAGTTAATCATCAGTTTCGTTAGCTCGGAGAGAAAGCCAGGGGTCTATATCGATTACGCGAGATAGATGCTACGTGGGGGGAACAATATCTTCTCGTTGCTTTTTGCAATATGCTAATTATGTCAATTATGAGTTATATCTATCCTATCCCGGCTCCTATAACGCGCAGTTATCTGATTAGTTTTCGTAAATTACATCGTTCCATATTTTCTTCGTAGTAGTGATTGATGAATTCTAGCCGATTAACATTCCAGCCTGACACGAGGCATTCATTAGCTGCCGGGATTGTGTGCCGTGTATAAAAATAAGAACCTTTAACTCTCGTATTAGCGATAGATCGAATGCGTTCTCCTCGCGATACGGTCAGCGATGTTTTATATTTTCCTCGCTAAATTGCATTGTTTCTTGCTTATTTTTCTTTCACACGTATTAAATTAATTCCACGCAAGGCCTCGAATGAAAATGTTTCTTTGATATACCTAGGTATCTTAGGTATCTAGGATTAGATGCACCTCAAACGAAGAAGGGCT